ACAAATTCTGGATATCTAAGTAAAGTATGTAAAAGCAAATAACTTAAGACATAAAGAGGGTATTATTTTCAAATACTGAGTGAATAAATAGATATACACATGACTATTATTCACTTTTATTGAGAAATTAATTATTTACCTTTCCAGGTTTGATATTACTTTTGTTTTTCTTACTAATATTACAGTTTATAAAACTAGTGAAGATTTTCAATCTTTTTACTGATAGTTCGTCATTACACTTCTACACTGTTATAAACACTAAAGTTGAATGATTAGTAGAATTTATTAATCAATTAATAGTTAAGCTCATTAATCCATTAAATTCAACTAATCAATTATTCACACAGGAGATAGTTAATGGAATAAAACAAAAAAAAAACCTCTAATGCTAAAAGGAGTGAGAAGAGCACAGACAGCCAATAGTGTAGCTTTGTGTCTAATGGTAATATTTTGATTACTGGATAGTTGGAATAATCAAAAACAATAATAATTGGAAACACTCAATTTGATTAGTTGATTATTCTAATGAGTTGTGACATTAAATGAATAAGCTGAACATGCCTCAATTAATAAAAAAAATTATAATGGAAAGATTTCAATTACTGGACAGTTAGAATTATTGAAAACAGTAATAATCAGAAACACTAATTCTGAACAGTTGATTATTTTCATGACATTAACTGATTTAATCCTAATTTTGATTACAGTTGGGATAATCTAAAACAGCAATAACCTGGAACACTAGCTGATTAATTGCTTTACTCATAATTTCAATTAATCATTTATTTTAAAGGACACTATTCGAGGCAACTGATGCTTAAAAATAATTTATTATATTGACTAATCATGTTAATCACCCAGTTCTAACATTTTTTTTAATCAGAGAAAACATGTTCAAACAGAAAGACTTGTGTTATACTTCTTTTTGTCAAGTGCCTCATCAAGCTCAAATCTTTCTGTTTTAAACAGATGACAATTATGTTTCTTCTGTTCAAAAGACCACTTTATTCTTATTCTTGACTACCCCAATTCCATGAGTAATTTCACCTGTGAACTTGAAATACACCACATTTGCCATTTTTAGACATTTTTATCAAATTTAATGTTAAAACTTTCTGCTGTAAGAAGACTATCATTGGTTTGTTCACTCATTTAGCTATAAATATATTTTAACCTCTGTTGAGAAGTCAACAAAATCTGCTCTAACTACTAAAAAACTTTTCTTAACAATTTATTTAAAAACATTTACAGCTGTCTTAACAATACAAAATATCCTATTGTTTTAACTATTCATTTTCTCAATAAACAAAGATTAAATTTTGGAGAAAAAAAAACAACTACAAAAATTATCAAATCATCCTATCCTAATTCCAACAGTCATCTTCAAATTTTTTTGTTTGTTTTTTCAAAATAAGGGATGTTTCTATTTTTAAAAACAGTATTCCAACCCTACTATGGCTATGGATTATTTGTGCTTATACATGAATGTGCTGTAATTATCAGGTTATTGAAAATGGCTAAGCAACATGAAACTTGAATGTCATAAACTGTACCTAAAGAGACTTCCTCCAAAACTAATAAAATGTTTTTAATGCCAATAATGCACCACATGTCTATGGAAGGAATGTAGCTGGGAAAATTAGGTCCCAACAGCTTGGATCCCTCAAGTCTTGTGGTTCCTTGTGCTCACGTGAGCACTGATGACACCTTGGACATTCTCTTTTTTTTAGGTTTTGGCACATAATTTAATTGCTACATTAGGTACCTCAGATATACTTTCATCACTGAATTTTATGCTCATTGTTTTTTTTTTGTTTTTTTTATGCTAATGACAAAATATTACGTCGTCAAGAAATTAATGACACTTTTTTAGATGAAAAACTCAAACAACTTGTGTATCAAAACAAAACATTTATTAAATTGACAAATCATAGGATGATAAGGAAAGCACGTGATGAAACGTTGTTCTCTGGATTTTACAATATGAATGTGGGTGGTGTTTATTATAGTAACTGCCATTTTATGCAGAGGTTATATTTAGTATTGGCCAATAGTGCTTTTCTATAAGCATTAGAAAACTTGCTTCTGGAAAAAACTGCATGGGATGTACGTGACTTTTATTATTTTTATATAGTAGCTTAAGTCATGCTGCACTATATATCTATTTATATTAATCATTATATTGAAAAATTAACCCATAATTGATATATTTTTTAGGTTAGAAGTTGATCCACGATTGTTAGTGTTAAGAGCTATCGAGTGATGAGTGCAATGTCTTTACATGAATTAGGCTTAGCACTTTGAAGTGGAAGAGTTTGTGATTTTTTATATTCTTTTGCATTTAAATTTGTAGTTTTAAGTTCAATAATTTAGCGTAATTTTATAAATATAATAGTATTTAGAATGATAAACTTGTGTGATTTGTACGTAATACTACTAGTACCAGTACCACATAAGAATTTTTTATTTTACCTTCTTACAATCTTTACTTTGTAGTAAGACCCACTCTTCTGTTGTTATTGCTTTAGAATTAAAACAGTCTAACTGACGTATATAAAGTTTATTCTGATATTTTGCAAATGGTTTAAAACTCAGTGTACAAGTGAGAGCAATAAAACCCATATGTTGGTTGTGAAACAGGCTAAATACATTCGTCTCAATAATACAGGGATGCTATGACATTCTCACAGTTGGGGTCTCAATAAACTGAAGAGCTTAAGTTTCGAATTCCAACATAAATTTTGCATATACTGAGAGGAATGTGACCAGTACTTATCTTTTAAGTGCTGTAAAGTAATTTTCTTTGTAATTTATGGTGTCTGTATCGTTTGGTAATCTCTTCTAACAGGATATATCAAGTAAATAGGGTCAGGCAGTGTTATTCAAACCAACTGTACTGTAAACTTTTACATACATTCGCTAGTAGTGGTAATTAGTTTTGTCTTTATAGTGAAACAACATACATGGACATATGTTGAAATAAACTTGTTTGAAAGTTCAAAGAAATGATATTAAAGTACCAAAAAGCTTTCTTACTATCATATCTACAGTAATGTTGAAATGCGCCTGTGCTGGACTGAATGAGAGTGACCACCAACAGGCATGATAGTTTATGGCAAACATACAAAAGTTCATGCTGCTAACCTCAAGATTTATTCGGCACAGTAAACAAAAGTATGGCTTTCACGAAACATAAACATAAACTTGAAATAAATATACATTTATGAAACAAAATTAAAATGTTTTTTTATGTACATATATAAACATGAAATCCTAGTTAAAAATAAAAATACTCATTTATTGTTTAGGTTTATTTACAAATATTATTTTCGGGTCTTGTATATTACTTGAAACCATAAGGAGAGTACATGATTATTAAAAAAATTAAAAATAGATAAAATTTGCATTTTATGGACGATATAATATTTTGGGGATTTCAGAATAATGTACTAAAATATAAAAAGTAACAAGTTCAAATCTGGAACAAATATAAATATCGTAATCATTTCTTATAAATACCATTTCCTAATGTAATTTTCCAAGATATTAAAGATCATAATGCAAAATAAGTAAATTTATCAAAAGTAACAGGCTTTATGTTTCTTAAACTACATGCATTTATGAAGTTTCAAACAGTTTCATCCACTAGTTTTATTGTTGGAATGAAATATAGCAAGACTTGCATTGGCTACTCAGAAAGTTAGTAACCTGTGATCATCGGGGTAAAAAAGCACAGCTTTCATTTACAGAGGAAGTGTGATGATATCTATTTTGGCTAAGCTAACTTATAGTTAACTTATTTAAATTCCTTAGATATTTCAGAAGTACAGTGGATCAAGTACTTACAGTAGGGTCATGGCAAATATCAGTCATTACCATGGTTAGTAACCTAAACAATCACCTAGGTGTATGTTACATTAAAAGTAACTTATGTAATTAATCTTATTTTTTAAAAACCAGGATTAGTAACTAGAAAAAAATACACAAAGGGTAAATCTTACTACTTTACAGTCTTTTTAAACAACCAGCATAATAAGATTTGAATAACTTTTTTTACAAAGTTTGTAATTTCTACTATTTTTTAAATTGCTGATATTCCAGCCTCAAAGAGAAAACTGATATAAAAGTTTAATTGTTAATAACAGAATAACAACAAAAAAAAGGTTGAACAATAACATAATCATAAACCACTAAAACATTTAACAGATGCTTTGTAAATACATGGTAGTGTCTTAAAATGTAAAAGAAAAATTTGCTTAAAAGCTCTACATACAATCCTCTGAACTGTTTCCAGAATATATTCGATTTTTTTTTCACCAAAAGTAAAATTGAAAATAGAATTTGTAACATAGAGACCTAATGCATTCTTTGATTTGCCACTCCCTCTGCTGTGGACTGCAATTTTGACTATTTAAGGCTTGTCATTACAGCTTGGAAAAGCAACCCAAAGAAATACAGTTTGGCCTCTTATAACAGTAATGTGTAAATAATAAACTGGGCACAATACCATAATATTATTGACACACATACATTAATTTAGGTTATTAAATGGTAAGTAAAATTTTTATTTATACATCACCATTACAAGAGGCCTAACTGTATTTTTTTGGTTTGCCTGCCCATGCTGCACTAATGAGCCTTCAACAAACCTGCAGTTCAGAGCAGAAGGAGCAGTAAATCAAATAATGCATTAAACCTCTAGACTACAGAGTATTAAATTTTATCTTTGGTAAAAAGAAATCTAATATAATCATTAAATAGTTGATCTGTTGTATAATGTTGAATAATAAATAAATTCAGTGCAATGCCATGATATTATTCATACATCTAAAATAAATTAACATTACTATATGGCGAGTTAAAAACTATTCAAAAACTCAACTATTGTTTCCAGAATAAAATCTAAGGTGAAAATCACTTAATTATTCTGGTTCATACATTTGATTACATATTTTTATGAAAAATGTGAAGATAACACATGAAGTGTACATTAAACTCACCCAGTTTCTTTAAAGTGTTCAATATCAAACATTGGATTGTAACCACCTGTTACAAGTTGATGGGTAAACTGAGGTAACTTGATAAGAAGCTGTGCAAGCACTTCATCAGTTTGCAAGGCTAATTCTCGCGTTGGTGAAATGATGATTGCCCCTACCTATAAATTAGTATAAAATGCAAATATAACTTCATGAAAGATATGTAAAATATATTACTGAGAACAACCACTTTTATATTTCATGGTTTTGGCACACACACAAAATTTTACAAATTAAAAAGAAGTACTTTAACCAATTCATTTCTTAATGCAAGCAGCAGCTAAGTTTACCTGTTTGTTTACTACTAAAAAATGGTCATTTACAAAAATGAAAAAATACAATCAATAATTCAAAATATGAGCACTTGTATAGTAATGAAAGTAAATTATACCACACTTATCAACTTCAATCAAATATCAGTCAAAAAAACAAGAAATTAATAAATAATGTGATGTTTCTACCACAATATGTTCATTGCTAAGTATACTGGTATTTTTCTCTGCCAATTTCGTGACATTCATCAAAGTATACTAATAAATCCAGAAACACAATGATGCAGTGAAGTCATCCATTTCCTACAATTAAAAACCATGTAAACTTCAAATGCTGAGGCCAAATTGAACTATTTCAATGCTTTAACAACTTACTTGGCACTTTAAACATTTCAGAAGTTTAGGGTGTCACATGGTACATGGCCTTCTGGGTTTCATCAGATTACATTTTATGACACCCACAATACAACCTCTATACTTTCGTACCAATTAGAAACTCAAATGTTCGATATTGTCAAGCTAGAACATAGAATAAGAACCTCCTACTTTTTTTAGCTGCTGAAATATGATATTTAGCAAGCCCACCATATTAGCTCTGCCCACCACGTCATCATTTGAGAAGACTTATTTATCTATGCCTACTTTCATATACCAATAACTTTATAATCAATCAAAAGCTATATATTTATTCTACATAATTCTGTCACTCGTCCTAAGTTATTTACGAGAGAAATGCTCTTATATCATTGGAAAGTTTCAAGTATTGCTATCAAGGCTATTTAGTGAATATAAATTATACTTTTTTAGACCCAAATTTAGTTAGGAAGCCTGAAAAATTATAGTGGATTTTTGTGGTATTAGTATAATAATTTATAATTTTTTTTGTATTCCAAAATGCTTATATAAAGTCTACAAAAATTATTATTTTTCCATCTCCACATATGAATTTGGACGAGGCTTTGTAAGTATGGCTCACAAGTCCAAACAAGGACTTTGTTGCATCATAAGTAGTAAAGATCATAGTTTTTCCAAATATTTTTTATTTACTGTTTTACGTTCGAAGAAAAATAACTGACATTTAAGTATTAATTTCAAAACATTAGTTATATATACATGTGTAATGTATTGTAGCCAATATGTTACTGTATTTTACTAAGTAAGAACTTGTTATTTTTCTACTTGTTTACGTTGAGGTGGAATAAAAACAAATTATATAAAATTAAAGACTTCGCAATTTGGAAATAGTTTATTTATGTAATTTGTGAAAGTCTAAGAATTAATTTTATCTTTCATCAACTGATCTTCCCACATGAAAATAAATATATTTATATAAATATCCAGTTGAGTTTGCAGTTTGCTGGTGAATAATTGTTTCTCAAGTTACAATCAAGAAAGCTAAGACAAGAATACTAGCCCAACAAAAACGAGCTGTTTTTATATTATTGGAAATTTCACACTTATTGGTTACTGTGTAAGCATGGTAATATAGGAAACGGTATGTCCGTAAGCATTTACACCTATACCAATATTAAATCCCAACCACCAAGTACGATGACTAGCAAGTTTATTGGATAGGATACAACTTCATGCTTTGTACAGAGCCATATCATAAATATTTTCTCTCACTTTCATAAAGTACTTTAGACAATTCTTGTTGTAACCACTGTATTGTAAAGAAGCCAGCAAATTCTATCCCAGTGTGTTCTCAGAGCAGCAATCTCGATAGTTTCTGTAGGATACTTCTGCTTTTTGACTTATTGGATTGGTCCAGACTTTCTACAAAGTCATAAACATTTTATAATACTTTAGACAATTGTTGTTGTAACCATTATACTGCCAACAAGATGATATATTCTATCCTGCTGTGTTTTCAAAACGGGGAAAATTCTAGGAATTGTGCCTCATAAACTTATTTGATATTGATGGTGTCAAAGTACTCAAAGTACGGACACACCTAAACAGGAACAGTGATTTCTTGCTTTATATTCGCCAGGTTTCAACTTCAGCCGCTAACAGTAGAATAACAATAGAAAATGGATGTACAAAGATTAGAAGAAACTCTCAGGAGATTTACTGTCTGTACTGAAAAGAACAGAGTACTATTCATTTTGTTTCTTCTAATTTCTAACTCATCTACTGGCAATAAAATAACTACAGAAAATAAGTGTGAAAAGGTGAGAGTGTAAACTCTGACCACAAGTACTTTGAAATTTTGTAATCACAACTAACAATACTATACATTTTATTTTGCAACCTTTATTTTCGTTATACTTCGATTACTTACCTACAACCAGGAGAAATAAGTATAATGTTACAGTACAAAAAATAACAAATAAAATATAAAGCTTTACTGAAAATAAAAATGTTTGATATTTAATTACAAGGTTTTTTTTACTTTTAATTTCTTTAAACTGTATTATTATGAAGTAACAAAAATCATAAAAATAAAAAGTTGTTAGGTCAAATAATGAAAGAAAAATAATAAAAACCTTCATGGGTATATGCACCAGAATCATTACCCTGTTCGATAGGGTCACGTCGATGCACTTGCACTATGTAATTTTCAACTTATGTTGGGGTATTTTTAGTCAGACATGGTTCAAAGATCAATAAAACAAAAATGAATAAATATAAATAGATGTATACTGTTAAGAAATTTAAGCCATTCAGAATAAACATTTGTGGTTTCTATTAGAATTTGCAGTTATTCTAGAACAAAAAAAAGTAATTCAGATTTATTTCCTAATTTTTTATGATGGTTACGAGGTCAGCCAAATCAATCAACACGATATAGAGTTAATATTCATAAAATAACAGATTAAATATAAGGTTTTATTTAAAAAACATTTGATGATTATCTAGAAGGATATAGTGATCACGCAAATTAAACTTCACAAATTTCAGATGAAGAAAAGCATTTTTAATCTTAAAATCAAATTACTTTGTACGTTGGATAGTCAACATTCTGAAAGAAAAGATTTATGATCAAATCTTTAACTCTATCACCTCAGGTATCCTTTACTGCCCATGACACATGGTTTTAGTGTCTTACATTCAAAATTTTATTAAACTACTTTTTGTATATGTTATACCAATTAGAATAGCATAAAATCTTAGCTAATAATCCATATTTTAATAGGATACAAGTTCTTAATTCTACAAGGCAATATTAAAAAAATCCTGTATTTCCCCTAGTGTGTACCATGTGACACTTTTTTCTTAGTATGTCATCATTCCTATTTTATCCATCACCCCTCAAAAATGTAAGAAATTAAATGTAAATTACTCTCTATGAAATTTTTACTGCTCAGACAAACCACAATTTTTGTAGTCTCAATTTTTTTGTTACAGAGCTATCAAATAGAAAATCAGACCCCTTCTGCCACACCCACCTGTCACATCCTCTCTTTCACAATTGCTTGATAGTTCTCCCTTACATTTAATTATATATTACCTATAACCAATAGAAAGTCTAAATTTTCATCTAATAATCCAGACATATTGTATAACGTTATGTTCTGAACAGCTAAATGTCAATTTCACTCAGAGTACCAACATCATTCCCATGAGAAAGTTAACGACTCTTGTCGCATAGTTAGAAAGCCAGAAAAATTTTGAGAGGTATTTGAATTTGTCTACTTTTTGCATGTTATTAATCTATATTCTTTTGTGCATTATTAAGAGCATTACTATGATTAGTATAAAACAATTAGGGTTAACTCTCTTTGACAATCAACAACAAGAAAAAAGATTGGTTAAGTATTTTATTTCTTGTTTTTCATGATTATTCTTTATGTATAATTATAAAAGTAACTAAAATGTAAAAATAGGGATCCTTTAAGGTTAGTTAAGATTAGATTAGGTAAAATAAATAATAATAATATTATAATAAAAATGTTTCATGAGGCACACATGCAAGTAGTTCATAGTAGCTCATGGGTAATGTAATTCATTAGCATGACGTGAGCTACATGTTCCCCCCGAGTGATTTAAAACTTATAATGGCACAGATAGTAGTTAGACACAGTTCAAAGGGCAATAAAACAATAACATTTAATTATAAATAGATGTATATTGTTACAAACTTAGAGCTACTTAGGATAAACGAATGTAGTTTCATGTTACAATCTGAAGTCATTCTAGGGAAAAAAAAGGGCAATTTAGGTTTATTTCAATTTTTTATGGTGGTTACACGGTCAATCGATTTGACCGATCTCGTTTTGAGATAGAGTAGAGAAGATAACAGATAAACTGTAAAGTTTTACTGAAAAAAAAAGTTTGAAATGCCTCTAGGAGGTTTTAGGAATAACACAAAGGAAATTTGAGATTTTTGAGATGAGGAAAAATATTTTAAGTTTAAACATAAAAATTATTTTGCACATAGACTATTCAAAACAAATATTCGATATATTCATGGACAAATCTTTATTTTATTTTATTAAACATACCTCACTAAAAAATACGATTTTTTGTACGTGAAAGACTTGTAATATTAACTGAAAGAATGCCACATTTTGTGAAGATTTACCTACTAAACTTAAAGTTAGAAGTATTAAATCTATAAAGACTAAATGAGTGCAAAGAGGTCAAATTCACTGAGCTCTTGTTGAGAGAGTTTATAAAGGTAACCAAAGAGGAAGATTCAGAAGTGGACTCACATGAAGAAACTGTAGAAGAGGAAATCATGGTTAGGCCAGCCAATCTAAGCTAGCATCATCTCGAAAGTAGAGGATAGAAATATAGCGAGTACTCTGAGTAACAGATAAAATGAGGGAAAGTCATATGTGCAATCCCATCCAAGTAGAACTAAATATATCTACCACCCAAGCCTGAAGATGAGGTAGTGG